CACAGCCTTCCCACGGCCGTGGGCACTCCCAGTGTGTCCAGGTTGCCCCAGGACGATCCTGGCCCTCCCACACGGCCGCCTGCACCATCACAGCTGGGCGGCCAGGTTTTACCGTCCGTGTCCTCTGCCCCTCTTTCTGGCAGTCTTTCACTGCACTACCTCCTTACTCGGCTTCCCACCTCGGCCCCGTGGCACCTCTGAGGTCGGTTCTGTGCTTGCGTGGTCCTGACACAGCCTGGACCCAGTCACCATCACACCAACACGGTTGTAAAGGACAGTTTCTTGCCAGGGAACTCTCCAAGGAAAAGCTACAGATTCCCTGAGGGAGACTGTCTGGCTCGCAGTGTAATTCCCACTGCCTGCTACTGGGCCTGGAATATAGTGGGCGATCAGTTCCCGTTTGGAAAACGCACGACGTAAGGAATGGCTGTCTGGGGGAAGATGCAGAGTAACTGAATGGCACAACGGGAACACGTGGGCCGTTTTTAAGTTCCTTTATCCCCTCATCCTGTCTCTTTGTAACTGTCTCCGAATACGTTCTTCTTTGCCAAATACATCTAGTTTAAGATAATATTTCAGGCTGTTGTAAAGTCACTTTTTTTTTTTTTTTACTTTTTTTTTTTTGGAGAGATTTTTCACTGCAGGGCACGTGCGCTCGCCAGACAGACAGAGAGAGACATAGAGATAGAAAGCGAGAAATCATCCCCCAAGGGGGATGGTCACGTCACAATCCCTTCTCCTCCATTCTCCTCTTGGGATCTTGGGCACGCACGCCCATGCGCCCGGCGTGAGTTTTAAGCCACCGGGTCCGGGACACGAACCGCGGTCGACTACGTGGGAGTCCAGCGACATAGCCATTACGCTAACTGCTGGTTCCCAACACCAAACTATTTTTAATCTTGGGCACGCACTCACACGCGCCCGGCGTGAGTTTTAAGCCACCGGGTCCGGGACGCAAACCGCGGTCAACTACGTGGGAGTCCAGTGACATAGCCATTACGCTAACTGCTGGTTCCCGTAAAGTCACTTTTTCACATGTTCTTCCTTCACTGATTAAACGCATTTCACACATAAGCAAAAACAAGAAAAAATAAAAAGCATCCTTCCCAAGGCCACAGCGTGCCCTGGAGGCGTGGCATGTCCCCCTGCAGATGGGGCGGGGCCACCGTTACATACATGAAACATTATTTCCCCTCTTTATTCTAATACAACACGAATTAGAATTGTCTGGAAGGCCTAGGTGCCTGTGCCTTGAATGAACGCCGCAGGAAAGGTGAAAGGCGCAGAGTGCGCAGTGGTCTGTAAGGCGCAGAGAGGGCTCGCGAACCTGTCTCACGGTGGTGTGGTCTTTGTGCAGGAGTTTGACTGGCCTATGGAAGGACTGCTCGTCCGGAACAGCCCTCCCCTGAAGAAGCCCGCCCGTGAGCCGCCACAGCGCGTCCGGGTCCCCGTGAGACTCCGCGTGGTGCGGAACGGCGACCTGAAGGGAAACACGGCCCTGGTTGTGACTGGCCTCGAAGTGCCGTCGGCTGGGAACATGCAGTGAGAAAGCGTTCTTACCCTTAGACACTATTCTGCAGATGCTCGTCCTCTCCCTGTGCGTGTTATCTGGGGGGAAATTGTGCGTTTACCTAGGAAAAGGGCTCCCGTATTGGTTTTTGAAGATGAAAATAATTACTAAAACTCATTTGTTTCTGTGTTAGAAATTAATTTAAACTCCGCTGGTTTAGGCTAAGCACAGGAAGAGAGAGCTCGCTCTGCCATAGGGCTCGGCCTGTCCTTTCCCTTCCATCCCCGTCCCGGAAGGACCCTGGGCACATGTCTCGTGAGCCTGGTAGGTTTTTCAAGCTGCCAGGGATAGATTTGAACTTTGGTCAACCGTGGGAGATCCAGCTCTAGTGTACAAGCTTCATCTCTGTATTTGGGGCCAGCCTGATCCATGTGCATTTTGAATTATTAATAGCATTTTGTTTGAATTTTGTTAATGTATCTTGAAATGACTTGAACTCATGCATTGCTTCTTAAATACAATCTTGTTATTTAAGTTATTATACACATTTATTTATGCTTAAATCTTTGACGTATTTAATTTTAAAAAAGTTCTCAAACATATAACTTTATGTCACTTATATTGTTTCCTTGGAATAACATTTTTAAAGTTTATCGTCCTAGAAAAGGGTCAGTCTGCACTTTTGCTTCCATTGGGGCTGGGACAGGATCTCTGCGTATGGTCAGGATTTCTCCCACACTGGAGAAAATCATCTTCGGTATTGTCATTACATTTTATGACAAAAGGAACCACAGCTGACTGGAGAGCTCTGACGTGCAGAATGAGTTAAACACACTGTCCCTCCTATTATTAGCTGCGGTGTTACCTCTTGACCTTTCTTGTGAGATGTTTAGAATATTTGAGGCTGCCGATAATAGTTTAATATTACTTTCTTCACATTGATTAAATACACTTCATACACCACTGAGCAACGAGCAGCATTCAGATTGGCTGTCCACTGAACTGCCTGTGAAGATGATAAAGTAAAAAATTAATCTTCAAAGTAAAGTCAAGCCTGAAATTGGAATCTTTGACGCATACATTTCATAATTAGCTCATTCTGCTGGATGTAAAATGTGAGGGTAATGCCCTTAAAGTAGCTTTTGACTTTTTAAGAAAACGCACAAAGTTAGCACATAATTTCTTTCCCTTCCTACGTCGTCTTCTTTTAAATTCCATACCTTTAATTGATGGCCCGCAATTATGTACAGATACTATCTTAGCACATTAATGTTTAAAATGCATGGTGCAGCCTGTCACCCAAACGTGCGTCCGGAGATGGGCACATGTGGACCACCGGCCTAGCGAGGCGTGCGAGGTCCTTCCCTGTCTATCCACGGTGCTCAGGGGATAGGGCGTCCTGGCTCAGGCTAGGGTATTAGGGCTCACTTTGCGGCACATGAACTAGTGATTCCCTAGTCATTAAAACACACTGACATAGACCTGACCCCAAACTCTAAACTCTGCGAACGGTAATTGAACCTGATTTTTCTGAATTCAGAAGTGTTCTGTAGGGTCATAAACAGCCCTGACCACCAGTAGTACGAAGTATTAGGAGAGGATTAGAATTTTACTTTCTTATGTAAATTACTCATAATGTGAATGCTTATGTAGTAACATGTCACATCGTTTAATATGAAGTTTAATATTTAATGTTTACAAAGTAGTTTTTGAAACTCTACAAAGAAAGGCAGATTATTTTAGGACAAATCATGATAAATTAAAACCTTACAGTTTTCCATGTATTGAAACATGCTGAAAGATATTTGGCGATGTCTATTGACGTAGCAATCAAATCTTGGCTAATTTGTTTCAGAAATGTTAACACTGAGAGGAGAGAGAAGATCTGTGTCTCTAAATGCTGTGAGACAGAAAGGAGCCAATCTGAATTTCACCAACTTTTGGAAAGGTAAATACTTAATATCTTAAATGCAGACATCATTTTCACTTGAATGCTTGATTATTATGTTTTGCAGATAACACAGACTACATACGTACCTATCTAAGAGAATAGTTGTTAATGTAATGATTCTAGAGGTTTTAATCTGTGAAATGCATAAACTATGTGATTTTGTGATACCGCTGCTAATTAACCCCCCCCCACACACACACACACACACATACTCCATGTCAAGGTCTGGCAAGTTCCGTTAGCTTTCTGAGTTATCGACTCTATAATATAAATTAATCTCGTTCTGAAAATGTATGTGATAATTTTACATCTTACTTTGATTTATATTTGTCTGAATTGAGAACAAGGTGGTTAAATTTTTGTATTTTATTTACTATAAACCAGTTTTTAAAATATCACTAACCTGTATCATACTCGTAAAATATATTGTAAGTTTCCTTTGAATTCATATTTTTTTACCATAACAATAATTATATAACTGCTCAAAGGTGAAGCACCTGGTAGAAATTTTTTCTTTTTCTTTTTTTTTTTCTTTTGCAAAATGCGCTTTGCCAAACGTGAGGGGACAGTCTTGTTGAATTTAAGGAAAATTAAATGGTCTTCGGTTATTTAATAATTCACCAGACAGTTCTGAGATCTCTTTTGTTACTACTGCTCTTTCATCTACAAAAGCAGAGGCTGAAGAGCATGCCTCGGCCCTCACTGCCCGTCAGCCTTCAGAGCCGTGACGCAGAAGGACTCCACCCCCACTGGCTCCCCCTCAGGGAAATGGGGAGTCTAATTATCTGCTCAACTGTACTGTCCCACCTGAGGAAGCGATATTTGGGGGTATGCTTCACATAGCTGCGTCCACTGATGAGCAGTCACCTCCGACTGACTCACTGTGACAGTACAGTCTAACCCAGAGCATGGTAACCTGGATCTTCCACTTCTCATCTCCCAAAGGCCAGATCCCACCATGGGAATCTTTGGGAAATGTCCCAGTTCTCTCCTTCCGCGTTCATCCTCCTTCCCTCCCTGCTGCTCCATCTCTACCCTAACCTGACCGACTGGCTGCAGAGTCGGCCTCTCTCACCCCATTCTAGTTTCCACCTTTCCCTTTAGTCAACTTCCTTGTTTTTAAGACCAAATCTTTCCTTCCTGTGATCCTCTGCCTCAGCCTCCTGAGTAGCCGGCTCCAGGCATGCGCTCCTCAGGTGGGCCTGCAGCTGGGCCCTCCCATGTGGCCTCCCTTTCGGTCTCAGCTCAAGGAGCAGCAGCGTCTTACAGCATGCACCCCTGCAGCAAGGCTGCAACCTTAACTTTCTTAAAAGCAGATAAAATGCCAATAACACCATGGATCGAGAACCTTCGATGCTTTCCTGCTGTTGATGAGCTGGAAGCCGGGCTCCTTGGTCTGGTAACCTGAGTGCTCTCTCAAACTGGCTTCTGCCTTTTCCAGCTCCACCTGGCCCCTCCTCCTGCTCATACACTCGGTTCTGTCTTCATCCTTGTTGGTGAGCTACTATTCCTCCTTTGAAGCCTAACTCAAATGTCGCTTCCTTTGATAAGGCTCCTGCAGGAGTCATTGCTGCTCTTCTGTGTTCTCGCAGCGAACGGCCAGGCCCTGCTTGGGCAGCTCCTGCGACTTGGAGTTACGCTTGAGTTGCTCAGCTCATTCTTCCTGACCAGACGGGAGCTCCTGAGGGAGCAGAGAAATCGAACCATTCATCTCAGTATTCCTAGGACCTGGCCAGTGGTTGGGTGGGGTGGGGCTGGACACCACTATTTAATGCTGAAACGGGCTACACCTTCCTATTTCTTCTTTTTTTGTTATTTTAGAGAGAGATTTTTGCTATAGTGCATGAGTACATGTGTGCACGATAGCAGAAACAGAGACAGAAAGCAAGAAACCAACCCCTTGGGGGATGGCCACACCATGATCCCTTTTCCTCCCTTCTCTGGATCTCGGGCATGCTCACACCAAGCACCCAGCATGAGTTCAAGTCACCGGGTCCGGGACATGAACCACGGTCGACTATGTGGGAGTCTAGCGATGTAACCATTATGCCATCTGCTGGTCCCTACAACTTCCTATTTCAAAGGGAATTCAAAGACCGTTGAGATGGTTTCTGGTGGAGGGAGATAAGGAACTGCCTAGTGACAGCCGTGATCTTGGCGACCTTGGAGAATGAGCCCAGCTGCAGCAGAAACAGCCAGGGGGTGCTCTAGGTAGAAGGAAGAGTGGGAGCGCAGAAATAGGAAAGTGGGGTGTTGAGGAGTGAGAAGTCAAGCTCCCCCATATTGATCAAGCCTAATATTTTGGCGGACACTTGTCAAAATCAACTTTTAATCCTTCGGGAACCCAGAAGAGAAGAAATGTAGGTTGAGGAGGTTAAATCATTTGTCCCAGTGCCACCACTTGGCGAGGGGAACGAGACTCGAAGGGCTCTGATGGGCTCCAGAGCCAGCTCTGGTTGGTCGCAGTCCTACAGAGAGAGCTGTCACTAACAGTCCAGGCTCCCCTGTTCTGTTGTTTTTCTCTCTTCCCTGCTGGGAGAGCTCTGTATGCAAGGCCAACTTTATGTCTCCTTCTGTAGGTGCACTGAAGTTTTAAATTTACCTACTGCAGCTCAGAGATTGTTCAGTGAGAGGGGGAAGGAAATCTTTTCCCTGGAAGACCTGCAAAGAGAGGAGCTGGTAAAGATTTGCACTGGGGACCGGGGATGTTAATATGTGAACATTACCCAAGGAAAACAGCCTTAAATACAAGACTTCAGATGCTTGCCGCGTTTATTCTTATTTTCTCAGAGTCATCCTAACTCAACAAGCATCAGAAAGCAGTACTAACAGCTTCCCGTGTGCCCAGCCTGGCTTCCAGGGCTGTCGGTCAATGAACCCATTTACGTTACCGTCCCCCTGTGGGGTGGGTGCTTTCGTTGTGCCTGCTATGTTGAGGAAGGAACAAGCTATGATAACCAACCCCTGTGATTCCTGTCTCCGACTCTGGAGGGGTCAGGTCCTTCACTCTTTCTGAGACCTTCAAAATTCAGTTGTTCAATGATTTCTTACTAAATGATAGTTTCACTTTTTCAGGAAAAAAAAATTATTAGGTGGTCAGGAAAGTCATGGCGTATTTTTCTAGGCAAAAATGCCTCATGATTTTCCTGACAACCCAGTACACCTAATTTCTCACAGTCTATTTGGGTGGCTGGGGAAGCCTGAGAAGTGGAAGGGATTTAGCAGCCCAGCCTTTTCTCCCATTTATAGAATTCGAGGCATCAACTTGGGGGGAAAAACTGCCTTGACTGGTCCTGGCAATTCTCTGGACAGAGAACAAAGCTTGCCCCACGTGATCCTGTACTAGACCTTGACTCCTCTGCATGTGGAGACCCCTCCAGAGAGTCTTAAACCAAGTACCAGTGACCAGTGGCAGAGCTAGCATGACAGGGCGAACCATCCACTGTTCTTGGAGTCTGGTAGACTTATGTTGAATCCTTAATGCTGTCACTTCTGAGGTTTTATTCAATTTATTTGATTTTTATAGTGCTTTTCTTTTATTCTGCAGCTAGGCTTATTCACTGTGTTTTTTAAGAAAGAATGTAAGGTATATTGCATTAAAGCACATAATAAAAAGATAAATTTAGTTAAATGTCAGTATAGATGAAGCCACCAGGGCAAAAGGCGTATAGATACTGGAGGAGAAGATGGAGCCAGGAGCGATTATATATTTGCTAGAAATTAACCTGTCACTGCTCTGAGCAGCAGCATGAAGACGGATCCATAAACATTTACAGTGGCAAGTATGTTCATAAGAGAAAAAGAAGGCTGTTGTGCAAGAAGAAGAACTGAGAGAGAGAGAGAGAGAGAGAACTCCCCAGTGGAATGCGGTCGGGCCGCACCCTCTCCTCCTTTCTTCACCCTGTTGGGATCTGGGACGTGCACACACCGGCTGCCAGCACGTTTCCAAGCCCAAGGTCTGAGGTTCTGACCATGCCACTGGCCGGGTGGGACCTGGCTGCCCTAACCACCAGGCCGCGGGACTGGGTCAAGAAGAAGTTTCTGAGCTGTTCTCCCTGGGCGCTCGTAAGAGCTGCTGCTGAGTGTGATGGCTGGACAGGCGGCGCTGGCCCTGCCTGTGTTCTCCCCCACCCCCAGTTTTTATGTGTGCATTTCTTCATGCGCAGGATGGAGAGAGAGCGACGGCACCCCCGCTAGGGACTTGCCCCTGGGATCCACCCCAGCTTCAGTCAGGCCAGATCACACACATGCCCGGTGTACTCGGGGCAGTCCTAGTGCAACCCCAGGTGCGCCCCTGAGGGTCAGCCTTGCAGAGCACAGCACCTTACCTGGCACCACTGTCCAGGGAAGATGGCGGCCCTTCTCTTTACCGAGTTCATCTCAGCATGTCCCTGTCTTTCCTCACCTTCAGGTGATACAAATTCATTTAAACATATTCAAGAAATACACATAAGTTGGGCCAGCAGATGGTGTGGAGGTAAGGTGGCTACACCCACATGCCCGACTCCTGGTCTGAGTCCTAGACCTGGCAGCTTCAATCATGCCAGGTGTGTGTGTCTGTGTCCAAAATCCTCAGAGGAGAATGGAGAAGGGAGTGTGGTGTGGCCATCCCCCCCCACCCCGGGGGATGATTTCTCACTTTCCCTCTCATTTTCTGTCTCTCCCTCTCTCTGGTGAGAGCACATGCCCAACAGAAATTTTTTTGAAAATTTAGAAAAAAAAAGAAATACGCATGGCAAAATAAAGAGGAAGAAGTCTCATCTGTAACGTCATCTAGAGATACCCGCATCAACATTTTAGTGTTTTTACTACGAAGTCACTTGATAGCAGGGGTCTTTAAAGGTTTTTGTAGAATCAGAGAGTGCATAATTTAGGCTTTGGGGGCCCTACGGTCTCCATCACAGCTTCAGCCCTGCTGAGCATGAAGGCAGCCACAGACAAGGCAGAAATGGACGGGCCTAGCTGTGTTCCAGCAAAGTTTATGTAAATGAGCGGCAAGCCAGATGCAGGCTTCACCTTTCCAAACTCTGGTTTTTTCTTTCCTTTCCTCCCTCCCTCCTTCCCTCCCTCCTTTCTCTCCTTCTTTCTTTCTCCTCCTTTCCTAAAAAAATAGTTTTCCAAACCGCTTGTTGTGAAATACTCACAGTTCACAGGAAGTCACAAAGGCGGTGTGGAGAAGTACTTTCTCACTTAGTTCAGATCCCTGAAATCCGCCCAAGTGGCCTTTGTGGGCGGCTTGTCCCCTCACTACTGAGCAGCATTTCGCGGCCCGCGTTTTGTCTGGCGTCCCCGCTCGTGGGGCCTTCTGACTGTGTTGACGGTTGCAGAAACTCATTCCTGTGATAGGTGTATGTTTCCTGTGGGGAGCACTGGGTCAGTCCTGAGCAGTCCGTCGTTCAGCAACAGAAGCAGCTGTTCCTGCGGCACCTGGCCTCGGACGTTGGCAAGATCCAGGCCTTCTGCAGCGCCCGGAAGCTTGAGGGTGAGCGCCCGCTGCCTCGGCGCACGCAGCAGATAGCGTGCTTCTGTGAAAACCCCAATTTGTTTCCACAGGTCCCCACTGCATCTTGCTGTTTAAGCTCTTAAAATTCATTTACATACTTAACAAGGTTATATATTTTAGTTCATACTACATTTACATGTGCAAGAAAACAACCTTTTTCTTGTGTCTTTAACAGAGCTGGCCTTCTTTGTGAGAAGAAGGCCTTTCTCATGCATTCCCACCAAGCAAAATAGTTGAATGTCTCATCAGATTTAAATATTGTCACCTCTGTTAATTAGTCCCTTAAAGGAGGTCATTCCGACTTCTCAGTCTCCAGAGGCTCACTTCAGTCCTCTCCAGGATGGAGGAAAGAAGTCTGGAAACATCCCCTTGCTTCCTGGGCTCTATCGGCTGAACCTGTGCTGGGGGTGACTTGTGTTCTGATTTTTTGTCCAGACAATGCTCGGGGTGGGGGGTAATTACTGCTTTTTTTCCCCTCTGCTCCCTCCGGTCCTCAGAACCCAGCCATAACCGAGTGCCATCTCTGTGGTGGATTCCTCACTACAGAACCACATGGCCCTGCTGGGGCACCTCTTCTAGAAAGCTCCTTGGCCAGATTCAGCAAATCCCGGTGACAGCTGTACCTCCCAGAATCGCCATCCGATTCATGGAGCTGTTCTCCGAGTGGAGCGCGAGGAGCTCAAGCGCCGTCCGCATCATGGTGCCCTGGACAATGGCCAGCGTCCAAGCACGTCTTGGTCTCACTAAGATTCCCGAAGTCAAGCCAGGGGGCCGGGGGATGATCGGGACACCCTGTGCTGGTTTTCTGGCTTTCTCTGTTTTCTGCCTCAAATCCCTCGGCACCCAGAGATGGCCCCTTTCTCCAAGTTATTCCAAGCTGAAACCCTTGATCTGCTAAACGAGAGCTAAAATCGTGGCCCTCTTACAGTGCAGTGCACTTTGAATGTCGAAAGTTACCTTAAGAGTTTTGCTTCTCTTTCGTAACATTTCCAAGTTCCTTAAGATCCTCCTCCTTTACCCAGGAACCAGGGTGAAGGGCCTACAGAGAAAGGAAAAGGAGGAAAAAACATTAACATGATCTAAAATATTACCTTGTCATGTGTACTGAACTCCACACAGTAAAGCTGCATGTATGTCTCTTAAGGCATTAGGGCTTTGATGCGTTTGGATCCCAGAGAATGCGCTCAAGTGTCTATACATAGGCACTGTCTAATAACACCACTTGAGTAGTTAGAATATAGAATGATTATTTTTGGAAAGGCCTATTTTTAGCACTTTGGGCTTTTCTTGAGAGGAAAGAATCTACATAAATGAAGCGAAGTGAAATTCAGCCTAATTCAAAGAGCAGCCTATGAACAGAAAAATAGCTGGAAATGTTTTGCAATTGTATTTAACGTGCGTTTTCAACTTTCTGGTTTCTGCAATTGTAACGAACATGTCCTTGCAATTTGTATTTCTACTCAGGTCTTGTTTTGGAAGTCCAAGGTGACATTGTTTCTGGAGCAAAGCTTGCTGTGCATAAACTTAGAGCCGTTTTTGGAGAGGAGAAGCAAATTATAGAAGCAGAGGAAAAGCAAATGCAAAAAAGTGCTTTAACAACAGAAAATGCTTCCAGTGAAATTCGGTAAGTAATCAGTGTAGCCAGAAAAGCTACCTGGATGCTTTTTAAATCAGCTCTCACCCTGTAACAGCCCGGAGCCCATTCAGGGAACTCATGCCAAGTTTGTGAAACTGATGTCAGATGGAGAGCTGGAATTTCATTAGTTTTCTGGTGAAAGGATAGAACTGGAGCATCAGTGTTTAACCATTATGATGATACGCTTTCAGTAATATTGTTGCAAAGACACGATATATATATATATATGTATGTGTATATATATATATATATATATATATATCTCCACTAGATATACATATATACATGATGTATGTAAATGTATGTATATGTGTGTATGTGTGTGTGTATATATATATACATATATTGGCCAGAGGTCTCATGCCCTCTGGAATGATTGAATGAGTTTCCAGGGAGAGACAAAGAAGGAAAGTAAGAAAGCAGCCCTCATGGGGCTTGGTCATGCCACGCTCCCTTCTTCTCCTCTCCCTTCTTTGGGGATTTGTGGCATGCACACACATGGCCCAGCGTGTTTCTCAAGTCACTGGACCTGGGACGCAAACCACAAGATTGGCCACGTGGGATTCAGCCGTCTTAGCCTGTCAGTCCATGGGTTAGCTCCTAAAGTTATGTACCAAAAAGACTACTACCTTGAAATTATAGGTAGACATCTATTTGAAGAACTCACCGTGTTTTATTCCCGTAGACAGTGGTCTCGGGAACAATCGAGCTTCTTCCCTAGCAGAGGGAAGCTCGGATGCACGTTCATACGTGGTTCCATGCTGATCCTCGACACGGCTTTCTGGCTGGCCTCTCTCTCCACAATTGCCCTCCTTCCACTGCTCCTCTAAGTCCCACTGTGGACAGCTGTCTTTCTAATACACATTCCTTTCCATACAGCTCTGTGGTGGCTACCGCTGCAGACAGAGAGATCTTGATCTGGAGTCCCGAGCCTTTCTGACCCTCGCCTGTGCCCACCTGCCATGGGCCCTCACTGGCCCCACACCCACCGCCCCCCTATGCTTTTCCTCCTGACACAGGAGCTCAAGCTCTGGCTCAGAGCTTCAAGCTGCCGCCTGAACGTGGCCTCTTCCGTTCGTGCTGTCATGGCCTTCGAGCCCTGTGCCAATTTCTCTCCATCTGAGAGTGCCTTGAGTTGCTCTTCACACGTCTGTAGGCCGACCCTCCATCACTGAGAGCAGTTCTGGCCCAGGAACTCGCTGAGGGCAAGGACTTGGTGACACGTGCTCTGCGAAGAGCAGGGTAACCAACTTGAGTCACCATTTCCCAAATGAGTGAAGGAGTGATCAAATGAGTTTTCAAATTATAAAGCTGAAAATAGCAGTCAATAACCATGGCAGTAATTATGACCATTAACTTGTATGGCATTGTTACAAATTGTTTTAAAATACTGTTTGTATTCTAAATTGTAATACTAACTTCCGTTTTAGGAAACAAACTTTCCCATTTTGATGGATGATTGTCTGGGCTTATGATCTGACACTAACCAGGCACAGAAGGCATTTTCCAGAGAGAATAGTTTGTCCTACGTGGCATCTTTCTCAAATGGTTAGGGACTTGACCACAAACTTTCCTGTCACCCCCTCACCTCTGAGTTATCGGTCTGCACTTGGAGAAATAAACAGAAAGTAAGAAAAAGGAAGAAACGTTTTGAGAGCTAAGCTCTCATTGTCCTGAGTCAGAGATTTCATCAAGGCCCAGGTCCCTGCGTCCTCCAGAACACAGTGTGGGTGACTCCTGCACGGCCCAGCCAGGCGCTCCTTCGGTCTCTTGACTGTGCTCAGTACCAGGTAGATCGGTGTCTCACAGCCCGGTGTGCGGTGTAACTGACCCGCTAGCTGGACATCTCTGTCCTGCTTCTGTTTCTCGGGACCGTGCCCTACGCCTCTTCTACCTGACGCTCCTCAGAATACCGATAGGTTTATCAGTGCACGCGCTCTTCTCCAGCCTGACTTCTAGCCCTGGAGCCTTTTCTAATGACAGGAACTAGAATCATTTTACATCAGAAAGTCCCTGTACGATCCCAGGCTTTCTTACATAGCTTATTTGGAGGGTTTTGAATATGTGAGACATGGAATGACTTAAGGAGGGACATCCACAGAGCGAGAAGCCAGACCTACTCTGCACGAAGCGGAGTGACCGCTGGCCCTGTGTACAGATGTCTAGTAAAAACGGTCGGAAGCAGGATGACGCGGCAGCACTCGAGCACTGATCTGCATTGATGCTTTACGGGAATAGCATTTCAGAACACAGAACTTGGAGCCTCTTTCTTATTTCCTACCAACTTGTAGGAGCAGGCCCGAGCCCCTCCTCCCAGCGCCACCCTCCTCGTGCTTGCTGCCCCTGCCACACAAATGTCCTCCCTCCGTCCCTCACCAGGGCCAGGTGAGGTCTGCTGCCTTGAGGATGCTTCGCTTTGATCCTGCATGGCTGGTGCCTCCCCACCGTCCAGGTTTCTGTTCCAACGTCACCTCTCTGAACCCCTGGTGGAGTAGACTCCACCCACCCAGCCAATCTCCAACACAATACCCTGTTGCAGTCCGCTCTGGCGTGCGTTTCTTACTCAGCATCTGTCGTGTCTCTTCTCTGTAGAATAGACGCTCTGCAAGGACTTACTGCTGTCTTCAGCACTTGGAGCTCTGTGTCTCTCGCACAGTAGATGCTCACTAGGTATTGGGGAAGGCCTGCTGTGGTGGCACAAGTGCAAGGTGCCCCTGCGAGGTGCTCAAGCTGTGTGGGAGGCCGGGGTGACCCGTGACTGCTGTCCTAGCTAACTGGGAGGCTGGGACATGGAGATCACCATACGGCAAGGTCCTGTCAAAAATATCCCTCTCTTGGGACCAGCAGGTGGTGTAATAGTTACGTTGCTGGACTGCCAACCATGGTTCAAGTCTCAGACCCGGAGGCTTGAAACTCACGCTGAGTGTGTGTGTGTGTGTGTGTGTGTCTGTGTGCACGCGTGGCTGAGATCCTAGGGGGAGAGTAGAGGAGAAGGGATTGCGGTGTGGCCATCCCCAAAGGGGGTGATTCTCATGTTCTGTCTCTCTGTCTTGCGCACACATCCTATAGCAAAAATCTCTCTTAAAAAACAAAAGTCCCTCTCTTTGTCTCTCTCTCATTTATTTAAAATAAAAAGAAATAGAAAAATGGTTAAAGGAATGATAGCTAAGTAATGAATGATTAGTTCTGTAAATGAATGAAAGAACAAATGAATAAATGAATAAAGCAAGATTAATTTTGGAAAGAGTATTCTAAAATTGACTTGATTAGGGGCCAGCAGGTGGTTAGAGGTTAAGGTGACTGGATCCCATCTGGGTGACTACTTGGCTCAAATCCCAGTGTCCTGAGAAACAAAGTGGGTACATGTGCAAGCATGCCCAGAATTCCCAGAGGAGAGGGGAGGAGAAGGCACAGTGATGCGGCATCCCCTGGGGGGTGAATTTCACTCCCTGCCCCAGTCTGGGAGCACTTAAACTAATAACAACAACGACGAGACTTGACTCTACTTCATTTTCTAGGAAACTTAAGAGTATATATAAATTCTAAGTAAAAAAAAAATAACCTCTGGTTTCAGGAGAAAAATCTTGTTTGCACCTTGCTAGTTTTGTTAAAACCAAGACTGTGTTTCTTCTTTTCCACTGGGAAGGCTGCGTCTTTAAGGTTGAACACAAGATGGCACTGTTGTCTTTAGTGGGCAGGGAGGCCAGCCGCTACCTCTGCAGGTCTGACTGAGCGGTTGTACCCACCACTTTCATGTCCACGTGCAGTATTTCTGCTACGCTTGAGAAGCGTGTGGTCATCTGTGCTAACACAGAATCTGTCCCTGAAGATTTGCTTGCATGTACATCCAGTTATCACAAACCTTGGCGATCGCAGTCTGCCCCGGAGAACCTTATTTACACGCCTGCTGCGGTGCCCGCGTGTCCTGCCTGTAGCCAAGCAGTGGTCACAGGGTTGCATGACCTCACTGAAGGCGAACGTGCTCGCAACAGTGGCCCGGAACCTGATACGTACAGGTGTGCGGCGGCCACTGCTCCCCTGCCCGGCTAGGTCTTACTGAGAAGCCGGAAGCCTGGCTCAGTCGCTCCTACTATGGGTATTTACTCCAAGAGTCCTAGTGTGTGATTTCTGAGTAAAAGTGGCACATGTGTGCAGATGCTAGTCGGGTCTCTCTGGAGGTCTCGATGAGGAGGATAAGTTAATCAAGATTCCTCATCATTGTCTAATGAGTAAACTTCATGAAAACCAGTAATCTAGGCTGTGCTGTTTAGACAGAATTATGACCCACTTCCGGAGCAGGCAGAAAGAGTCTCATTACAGTTCATCATGAATTTCTCAAACTACTGAGTAGCCTTAATCTGTCTCACTTTTGAAATATAATACATGGCCCTATTTCTTCTGAGGAAAGGTAACAACGATAAATGCTCCCTAGTATGTGATTGAGGGATTTTAATTGTAGTCATACATTGAGACGTAATTCTGCATTAGTAAGAAAAGGTGTTTGGATGTTAGGCACCCTTATGGAAACAGGATGTGGTGATCCGCAGGCATCCTGCAGGGTGTGGTTAGACCTCACCTCGGAGCAAGTGCTGGGAGCAGGGCGGGAATTCTTAGACTCGCTCATGTTGCTTCTGGACCCCGATAGAGACGCGCACGCGAGAGCCCACCTCTGAGCGGGGCCTGTCCCACGTCACTCAGGTACGCCTGGCGGGAAACGGCATGACCGTGGTGTGGATGGCAGTCTCCCCAAGACAGTGGAAGGAAGGCTCTTCGAAAATGTGGAGCCACAGAAGAAATATAGGTAAAAAGTTTCGAAGGATTCCTGTTAGAGACCTCTGCCTGGTCTTAGGCTGCCACCCAGACGCGAACACACCCTGAAGGTTTTCCCTACTCTTTCCATCAACACAGGCATGTCTGTCTTCTGTTTTTGATGAAAGAACTTGCAAACCTTTGTGGGAAGGGCCACTGCCCATTAGCCTCTGTCGTGCAGGCAGGGTAATGTCATCTCCTGTCCCTGTCCTTTCTTTTCTGCTAAACAGGAAGCGTGTCCACCCTCGCCTCCTGAGAATTTAGCACAGAGCCTCTGGGCTGGTAGAATGGGCGTGTCATGATCCGATCAATGAACATGTAAGATGCCCTGATGCCATCTAGACATTCATGGTAGAATGCTCTTTTTTTCTTTTTAATTTTATTTTTTTCTGGTCAATGTCCAGTGAAATGACAGGACTCTACAACACATGGCATTATTCTGTGATCTTTCGACACTAGCACATGGTATTATTCTGTGACCTTTCGGCGCTTGCCACCATTACGGCAGCTGCTGGATTATATAAATTAAACAGTTTGGGCACTTCAACATTTAGCATCTGGCCGTGCACAGAGAGACTAGACGTTCACAGACTCGCTGCCATGCACTCTGATATCTAACGTGTTTGATAACCGCCTCATGCAGTAATCCTTAAGAAGGAAATCTCTTTAAATGAGTTCAGCGTATTACTTACTTTTAGCATAGTCTGAATTCGTCGAGTAGATGGAAGGGCTTGGGGAAGGGTGCTCTGCCCTGCAGGGTCCTGAAGACAGAATAGGGACAGCGTCATCAGGACAGAGATCCCGCTCTCCTCTGCGGATTCTCAGGTGCTCTGTCTTCTCCTCTTCGCTTTTGAATCTGCTTCTCCCTCTCGAACTGCGTTTTCTCTTCACTGGGACGACCTTTGTCTCTGATGGATTTCTCAGACGCCCTCCTGGATGAACATCCACTGTGCCACAACGTGAGCTCAAGTGCTCCTTGTCACCTCAGTCTGGACTGCGGGCTGGGTGTGACATGACTCACCAGCACAGGGAGCTCAACTCACGGGGACCCTCGCCCACGGGCCCTCCAGCCTCTGGCTCACTGGGACATTTCTCTGTCACTAACGGAGGTTTATTTTGTTTTATTTTATTCCAGCCTTTCACTGAAGTGTAACAAATTGCAAAAGCTTGGCCGTCAGCAATTTGAATACAGAGATGGGCAGATTATCAGCCATGCTGTTCCTCAGCTGGTCTTGGGGGTACAAGGCCCCATCCTCCGCTCGGGCGTGGAGGTGGTTCTGGTGGAGAGGAGCTCTGACGGCAGTCACCAGCACTGGGTGCACCGGGACGACAGCAGGCAAGTCTGTTAGGTCAGGGCTGGAGAGGCCCTCAGAGGTCTGGCACGGCCCCGCAGAGCAGCCAGGGTATAGTTGAGGGCTTTGGATGTTCAGTCTAATTTAGCTCATAACTTCATCCTCACCGAAGAAGAGAAAGAGCGTAAAATCAAACATAAACACTAAACAAGCTACATATAATTTACTTGCAGTCAGATTCAGATAAGGAATGTTCAACCCGATCAACTGGGTATATAGTTTTATTGGGCCATTGGGCTCAAGACTGGACTCTCATCTAGTTTTATGTTTATAGTAAAAACCAAATAAAAATTCTTAAAAGCTCCCAGTTTAAAAATCTTGGGGTACCTTTCATTTATTTAATCCCCACCTTCCCCTCCACACACACCTTTAGTCTCTCCTCTACCTTCATAAAGTCGCCAATATGGCTTCCACCTCCCACAGTAAAAACGAATTCTCACCTTAGCAAATATATGAAACGAATTCAATGTCTGGCCTTGGATCAAACCAACTTCTAGTAAAGGTTATCTTTACGACAATCAGAAGAAATCTAGAACAGTTCGGCTAACCGATTTTTAACTGTTATTAATTTTGTTGGGTATAATAATATTTAATAGTTCTGTTTAAAAGAGAAATAAAAATCCTAACCAGTTGTATAAATACTGTAGTATTTATAGATAAAATTGAGAGAACGTTCTAGCAAAAATAAAAACTAAGAAGAGTTGAGCCTGGATGAAACAAGAATGGCAGAGCGGTCAGCGTTGTCAGGCCCGTGCCAGGCCCACGTGATCCATTGTGCATTTCTTTTTGTTTTCGAACATGTTTGAACATATCTTTAACTTAACGAGAAAGAAAACAGCTCCCTGTTTTTTAGGTGGGTCTGCTTCAAATTCTACCGTTAGCATGGCATGGTGGGGCTTTAGGGGCCTCTTCAGTCTTTTGAAACCCTGTACAGAATGTATATTTGTCAGTGCAATTCTGGGGGTTGGGGAGAGCTATGATTTCCATGGATTCTCAGAAGGTTTGTCCTGCAAATGGCTTATGAATCTGTGCTTTGAGAGTCGGCACAGGTGGCCCACAGGGAGGAGAGGAGCCAGCCTGGCTCCGCTCGCCGTCTGACAGGAGCAGAGCTACCAGCCAGGGACACTGGCAGGGCTTGTTTCGGGAGGGCTGGAATCCTCTGTGGACACAGCCGAGTGAATGCGTTCTGTCCCCATCCTCCTGAGAGAAGCTCTCTGCAGTGTGGAGCTAAGATAGCTGGTTTTTGTTATTGTGAAAAGTTTGCTCTGTAAGACCAGAATTTATTCACTCATTTATTCATTCATTCAATACCTGCAAAGAGTTATTGACAGCAGTGTGTTAGGGGCTTGTGCTTTAGCAAGGACAGAACTCACGCCCAGTGCCACCCCAGCATCTGCGATGTGGAGCAACGTCCCGCTGCCTCAGCTTCCTGTCACAATGAATGTCTGCGCCTATGCCTGAAGCGGGAGTTGAGCATATCTCAGCTGAGTCTGGAGGGATGTGCCCACAGTAAAAACGAATTCTCACCTTAGCAAATATATGAAACGAATTCAATGTCTGGCCTTGGATCAAACCAACTTCTAGTAAAGGTTATCTTTACGACAATCAGAAGAAATCTAGAACAGTTCGGCTAACCGATTTTTAACTGTTATTAATTTTGTTGGGTATAATAATATTTAATAGTTCTGTTTAAAAGAGAAATAAAAATCCTAACCAGTTGTATAAATACTGTAGTATTTATAGATAAAATTGAGAGAACGTTCTAGCAAAAATAAAAACTAAGAAGAGTTGAGCCTGGATGAAACAAGAATGGCAGAGCGGTCAGCGTTGTCAGGCCCGTGCCAGGCCCACGTGATCCATTGTGCATTTCTTTTTGTTTTCGAACATGTTTGAACATATCTTTAACTTAACGAGAAAGAAAACAGCTCCCTGTTTTTTAGGTGGGTCTGCTTCAAATTCTACCGTTAGCATGGCATGGTGGGGCTTTAGGGGCCTCTTCAGTCTTTTGAAACCCTGTACAGAATGTATATTTGTCAGTGCAATTCTGGGGGTTGGGGAGAGCTATGATTTCCATGGATTCTCAGAAGGTTTGTCCTGCAAATGGCTTATGAATCTGTGCTTTGAGAGTCGGCACAGGTGGCCCACAGGGAGGAGAGGAGCCAGCCTGGCTCCGCTCGCCGTCTGACAGGAGCAGAGCTACCAGCCAGGGACACTGGCAGGGCTTGTTTCGGGAGGGCTGGAATCCTCTGTGGACACAGCCGAGTGAATGCGTTCTGTCCCCATCCTCCTGAGAGAAGCTCTCTGCAGTGTGGAGCTAAGATAGCTGGTTTTTGTTATTGTGAAAAGTTTGCTCTGTAAGACCAGAATTTATTCACTCATTTATTCATTCATTCAATACCTGCAAAGAGTTATTGACAGCAGTGTGTTAGGGGCTTGTGCTTTAGCAAGGACAGAACTCACGCCCAGTGCCACCCCAGCATCTGCGATGTGGAGCAACGTCCCGCTGCCTCAGCTTCCTGTCACAATGAATGTCTGCGCCTATGCCTGAAGCGGGAGTTGAGCATATCTCAGCTGAGTCTGGAGGGATGTGCCCGGGGAAGGAGAGAAGGACCCGGGGGAAGGAAAAGCCGAGTGCAGTGAGTTCGACTCAAGAACACTCAGCTGCTGGCAGGGAGAGCGCAGTGTCTGCTTTAGTCAGTGTGGCTTCGCCTTCCATCGGATGCTACTGCTACGGGGAAAGCAGGGGGAGGTGAAAGCTACTTAAGTGAAAGCAGGAGGAGAGGTTTGCTTAACACCCTGTGAGATGTTGGGCTGTGAACGGTCCCGCCTTGGAAAATCGGAGCATGTGTAGCACCAGGAGGAAAAGGACAGTCTCATCTGCCCTCCTCCCACTTCAAAACACTCTGCGACTCTGCCCTCCTGAGAGCTTCTCGTGTCAAGCCACGAAGTGAAAGGCAGTTGGTAGAAGGGATACAGGGCTTTGATTATTCCCTACTTGGAAACTTCAGAGTCTAGAGAGAAGAGATAGAGGCCCAGGGGCTCAGAGGGGCCAGGCGAGCTCAGGAGCACGTGAGCCACACCCTAGGACTCCCAGGCGCACTTGGGCAGGCCGGTTCCTGCAGACATCTTGCTGAGCAGGCGTGGCTCAGTTCGGGACAGTAACAGTTCCACGGCAGCAGTCTGCTTGCGTGGTGACCGCAATTTGGAGCTTTCTTCCACATTTCCCCTTGGCATGGTTTGTTTACTTTCATGCAATTGGATATTGAAACCCGTTTGTTCCATAAGTGAATGAGGCCTAGCGAACCTGGGTTATACGGAGTAGCAGAGACCCTCAGAAAGTTCCATGAATGTTAAACACGTCCTTCTACCCCTCCTGCCCAGGCAGTACGATTGTGTTTGCGCGTCTGGATCTGTACACAGAGTGCGGGTAGCTCCAAGGCAGGTGATGGGGGTACTGAGGACTGGCACTGTGCCGAAGGCGTTCTACCATCACTCCTTTTCCATTCAGTCCTTCAGCCTAGAACTGCTTTTCATTTTTATTTATTTGTTGTTGTATTTTCGTTTGTTTTCTGTTTAAAACAGAAAATAAGTAGAAATCTGACATGGAAGCAGTTGCCAGCAGGCCACCTGATGGGGAATTGTGGCTGTGAGAATGTGGGGCAGCACAGTCTAGGCTGGAAGTGCTGGAAACCAACGAGAAGGTACCGGAAGGTCACAGGAGGGGCTCAAGGACACACCCACCTGACTCCCAGCCCCACAGTAGAACAGTCCAGGTCAACACTGGAGATAATCTGGCATCTTTCTCCCATTTTCAACTGTGGTACAATCTGAGTTAATCATTTGGCCTCCGAAGGGAAATACTCAAAAGTCCTCCGGAACAAAAATCCCCTCCACAGGACTCAGAATCAGGGAGGAGAAGACACAGTGTCATGGAATTTGGCACTGGACGAGATTTTTAAAATCACTGAGACTTACAAAACAAACAAACTGAGGCTCAAAACAACTAAATGACTTGCATGTGCTTATAATGTAGGGCTGAAGGAGGGACTGGAATCGTGCTGGCTGTTGTGGGGGATGGGGTAGGTTCCCACCCTCCTGTTTGGCACACAGCAGGCCCCCTGCAGAATGTAAGCAGTACTCTGCTGTGTGGGCAAGTGCCAGTCAGCCCTGCTGTTGGCGCATGGCCTAGTGGTTAAAGGAGGCAGATCCCACGTGGCTGACTACAGCTTGAATTCTGGCCCTACCAGCTTGGAGAACATGCCAGAACCATGTGCAGACATGCCGCAAATCCTGACAGGATGGGAATGGAGAAGGGATTGTGGTGTGTGACGTGCCCCACTGGGAGGCTTTCTTCCTCTCTCCCCATGTCTCTCTCTCTCTAAACTCACCCTCCACCAATTAGAAAGGAAAAGGAAGAAGTCAACTAAAAGCATGGTGGCTGAGCATGGCAGAAGGCGCTAGGTCTCTTCTCTTCTCGGCAGCATAACAGACAGGCAGCTAGTCTGGGCACTTCAGACAATCGCAGGTTAATTTGCATAATACTCACAAGTGCTGTTAAAATGCAAAATGTAAATTGCGCTCCATGCTGAGGCCACAGCAATGCGCAGCTCCATTCTCTGGTAGGAACAGTCTGGATACATGCTAAAATGCTAGTTCATAAAATCAAATACCCATTCACGTGGCTGACTACAGCTTGAATTCTGGCCCTACCAGCTTGGAGAACATGCCAGAACCATGTGCAGACATGCCGCAAATCCTGACAGGATGGGAATGGAGAAGGGATTGTGGTGTGTGACGTGCCCCACTGGGAGGCTTTCTTCCTCTCTCCCCATGTCTCTCTCTCTCTAAACTCACCCTCCACCAATTAGAAAGGAAAAGGAAGAAGTCAACTAAAAGCATGGTGGCTGAGCATGGCAGAAGGCGCTAGGTCTCTTCTCTTCTCGGCAGCATAACAGACAGGCAGCTAGTCTGGGCACTTCAGACAATCGCAGGTTAATTTGCATAATACTCACAAGTGCTGTTAAAATGCAAAATGTAAATTGCGCTCCATGCTGAGGCCACAGCAATGCGCAGCTCCATTCTCTGGTAGGAACAGTCTGGATACATGCTAAAATGCTAGTTCATAAAATCAAATACCCATTCGGATTTCCACAGATACCTCATTTACTAACAACAGAAGGAAGAAAAGCACTGTAAGATTAATAGTGATTCTCTTATAGGAGCAGGAGTGACTTTAAAATTTCTGTTATAATTTTTACTATCTTTCCCAGTACTTTGTAAATTCTTTATAATGAGGACATATTATTTTATGTTCAGAAATTTGAATTAGATTTCTGGAATTTTTAAGTCTTGAGAGGAAAAAATATTTTACCTTTATAACAGATCCCCTCTCACCATGTCGCCTTTTCTGCCATCCCATATCATTACATTTCGTATTCGGGACAACTCACTTTCCACAGCAGGAACGTCTCTGCTGGTTTGTAATGTAACTGTTCTGGCAGGAGCAATGAACTGGCTTTCAGCACAGATGAGAACCTCGAATGCTTGGTTTGCTTATTTTTTTTAAATGATGCACCGAAAGAATTTGAAGGCTTTAACTCAATAATTTTGTTTTGTTTTTCAGTCAAGGAGGCTTAGTTCTAATTAAGATCACCAAAAAAATTGACATGTATCTTGGACTAGTAAGGAAAGCTCCTCTGGAAGAATATTTGAGCAAAAGCTGTAAGAACACGACCATTACTAATAATAGCTCGTGCTGCTCTGCACCGTAAAGGTCTGTGCATTTTATGTGCACCAGGCATTGAATGCACACATTACGCACTGGCACCCCGCTTGGCGGTGAGGAAACCCAGGCACAGAGTTGTTAAGCAGAGCCATTCAGTGCTGAGAGGTGGATCCAGTATTCAAACTGGGTGGCGGCGGAGAGGTTCCTCTTAATCACTCTCACTGCATCCGGTAATAGCAAAATGGAGGAGGAGGACACTTTGATCTGGGTGTAGTGCGGAGTTGAACAGGAGAAATTCAATAGAAAGATTTACTAAACTCTGACAAAAGGTGGGACGTATGTGCACGTGTCGGTACACGAAATGTTCCACTGGGTGTGGTTAGCTGGTGAGGCCTGAGCAAACTCTGGTTATACTACATAGCAGAAACCTATAGCACTTCATTTGTGTTTATGTTTATATCCATAGCCTTTTAATCCTCCATGTTTTGTTTGGGCAATAGCTCTCTGTGTGTGTGTGTGTGTATATATTTATGTACTTACTTACCCTAGGGCAGAGGGAGAATACCCAAAAAAGGACAAATTTGGAATTGGGGACCCTCCCCAAGGTTGGGCTGAGACTTCACTGAAAAGGTGGCCACAGCCCTGAATGGCAGAGAAGCTGCGGTTTGGCCAGAGTTGGCCTGTGGCGGCTGGGCTAGCAGGAAGCCGCCCTTCCAAAGGGAGGTGGAGGTGCAGCAGTGCCTGGGCCCACCAGCACGCAGAGGGAGTGGGGGTGGCCCAGCAGGACGTAGCCACGCTGAGAGGGCAGCAGGCAGGTCCCTGTGCGAGTGGGGACTGTGAGGTGCCCGGAGAGCGCGCGTTCTGGACACCTGGCTGGAGCAGCGCATCCCCGGATCTCTTCACTCCCAACCACAGATCCCATACAGCAGCCAGAAGAAACAAGGGCATCTCTCCTCCAGCCCTGTCCTTCCAGCACTCTCCCCTTAGGTGCCCCCTCCCCACCGGTAGTGCGGGGGAGAAATGTTTCAAGGATCCACGTCCATTACCTCCGAGCACGCCCGGAGCTGAGAGCAGCGCCTGGACAAGGGGGAGTGGAATCTGGTCATGCAGCCCTGTAATGTGAGTAACTCTCATTTCCCAAGGACCTTCCACCTGGTGAGCAGCCCAGACCTCGTGCTGGCGGTGTCTCTGACCAAGACTGAAGAGGGCGTCTGTGGCTGCCCCGTTATCGTTCAGGTACATTGTGTGTGGGCTAAAGGGTGAGCATGGTCTAAGTACTTTTAAGGAAATTTCCATGCTTCCTTGTGGAAAAGAAAATAGCTGTTAAGAGAATCCAATCTTGAATATGTGTTATTGTTAAAATATTTACAATAAACCAAAATATACGTCATGATTTTCTTGCTCTAACAGTTACTGAAGTCCCGTCCAATGGTTGACCGTTGAGAAGTTGTCCCAACAGCACGCACATAGGTGGTGGGTACACTTGAGCGATGGCCATTAGATAGACCTACATTGATCAGCAGG